AAAAGCGAAGAAGGAAAAAAATTTCTTTTATTATTATTATTATCATCATTCGAATTTGAACAATTCCAGGCACGAGTTATTATTGAGTTCTTTGAAGATTCCCTCCCACCATCACCTTCCTGGAACTTTTTTTTTTTTTAAGTTTTCTTATTTTTTTTTTTTTTTTCTCCAGACTCTGAGTGAAAACATGGAAGGAATCAATTCAAAGTTGTGAAAAACATTTTTTTTTCTTTCTTTATTTATTTATTTATTGTTACGCGCGTTTTTCGGAAGAAAATTGTGACGTAACGCGTGCGAAAGTGGGGGGAAGACGAGAAAGGTGGGGGGTGATATCGGGCAGTGGCGGAAATAGGAATAAACCGAAGGGAATGCGTTGCGTACGTGTGTGCGTGAGTCGTGAATTTTTTTTTTTTTTATTTATTATTATTATTACTATTATTATTATTATTATTATTATTATTATTAATATTATTGTTTCTGTATATATTTTTTTTTGTTTGTCTTCTGCTTTTGACATTTAAAAATTTTTATCACAATCATCCCTTTTCTCTCTCCCTTTTTTTAGTCTCCCTTATAGTCGTCGTTGTCGTTCGTCGTCGTTTTGTTTTTTATTATTATTATTATTATTGCTTTCCGATCGAAAATTTTATATGAAAAAAAAAGCGGGAGGGGAGGGGGTAAGGGGGGAAAACATTTTTTGTTCTGAATTGTGGAGAAAAAAATAAAATACAAAAAAAAAACTGGAGAAAATTTTTTTTTTTTTTTTGGAAACGATGAAAAGTCAAAGAAAATAACAATAATGATAATAATAATAATAATAATAATAATGATAAAGCATGACATTTTTACAAGTATTTTATTTTCTTTTTATGATGCGGGTGAGAAAGAGAAAGATTTGAAAGAGAGAGAGAGTGTGAGAGAGTGAGAAATGATGGTGACACTTTAGTAAGGAAAAGGATGCGAACGTGTAAAAAGAAAAAAAAAAAAATTTTTTTTTTTTTTTCTTTTTTGATTCATAAATAAGAAAAAGAGGAAGAAGGAGTTGTTGTTGTTTGTAAGGGTATAACAGGGATAATGATGTGAAAGTTTTTTGAAGCGTGGGTATCGTGAACAAGGCTGTGAATGAACAAAAGTAAATAAAAATAATGATGCGAATAGGAATGGGAAAAAAAGTCAAAAAGATAGAAAGAGAGGGAGAGAGGAAAAAAAGATAGAAAAAAAAGAGAGAAAAAAAAGAGAGGAAAAAAAGAGAGGAAAAATAACAAACAAGAAGGGAAAAGAGAGAGAGAGAAAGAAAAAAGAGAGAAGGAATAAAAGAGAATGAAAGGAAAAGAGAGTGTGTGAAAGAGAGAGTGAAAGTGTAAAAAAGAAAAAAGCAAAAAATAGAGAGAGAGAGAGAGAGGGAGAGAAAGAAAAAAACAGAATCATGGGAAAAGGGGGGGGAGAGAGAGAAAGAGAGGAAGAAAAACAAACAAAAAGGAGAGAAAAAGAGAGAGAGAAAAAAAAGGAAAAAGAACAAACAAAAAGGGGAGAAAGAGAGAAAAAAAGAGAATGAAAGGAAAGAGAGAGAGAAAAAAGGAAGAGGAACAAACAAACAAACATTTGAGAGAGAGAGAGAAAGGTAAAATATTGTTTGTTTTCAAATAACCATAATTTATATTCAAAGGAAAATTTAATATTTAAATTATAAAATGCGTTAATCCTTTGATTTGTTAACCCCGTAAAACAATTAACAATAATTAGTTTTAAAAAATATCCAAAAAACAAACAAACCAACCAACAAACAAACAAACAAACGAACGAACGAACGTAAAAAAAAAGGAAAGGAGGAAAAATTGAAAAATAATTTTTTTATTTAATTTACGCGAAACCTTTTGAACGTTGGAAACCGCCAAAAAAAAAATTTTTTTCTTTTTTTTTTTTTTTTGGGGGGGGGGGGGGGAAGAGATTCCAGTCGCGCTTTTTAACTTCAAAAAAATTCCGGAAAATTTTCTCTTATTATTATTATTATTATTATTATTATTATTATTATTATTATTATCATTTTCCTGGTTAAGATTTTACGTCATTTAAAATTTTTAACAATCATCGAAATACAACCGGACCGTTTACGTTTAAAATTTTTTTACATCTTTTTAAATGTGTTTTAAACCAAACAAACAACAAACAAACAAACAAACAAACGACGTTAAAATATATGAATAGCAGAAGGTTTTTTTTTTTCTTCCAACAGGAATTAATTTTCTACATATATATATATATATATATATATACCAACTAACTCGTCGCATTGTATTTTCAACTCTCATTAATAATAATAATAAACATTTTATTGAGTAGAAATAAATTAGAAAAGCAGACGATACAATAGATGGTTGTTAAAATGAAAAAGGATAAAAGGAAATAAACAAAGGAAAGAATGATGATGATGATGATGATTATAAAAGGAAAAGTAGAAAAGAAAATGGAAAAAAAAAGAAAAACGGAAACGAATTTGCTTCTTTTTTTTTTTTTTTAATTTACAACAATTCAAAAACTCTGGATGCGTTGAAGTGGTTCAGGAGCATAGGTACGGGTTCGTAAGTGTGGGTGAGGAGGGTGGGGAAAACGCAGGATAAAAGTTTATCCGGCCATGACAAAATTATTAATTTTATCACGTTTGACAAAAAAAAACAAATAATTAAATTTTTTTTTCTTTTATCCCCCCCTCCACCCCCCCCAAAACTTTTTCAACAAAAAAAAACTAATTTAAACCTCGTAATAAACCTTTCATCCGCCTTTTCCGCCGCCGCTACCGCCCCCCAACCACCACCGCCGCCAAACCAACTCAAAACGTAATTGAAAAATAAACAATTCAAGAACAAGAACGAATTTTCCGTTTGTTTAATTTAAAACAACCGAAAAAAATTTTTTTTTATATACACATACGTCACAATTTTTTTATAACGTCATAATTGTATTAATGACGTCATTTAATTTAAATACCCGTCGGTTTCCGTAACGGGTTTCTGAACGTGACGATTAAAGAGAAAAAAACAAGAAAAAGGCAAATTATTAAATTAATATTAAATTTGAGAAAAGATAAAAGTGGAAGGAGATGGATGATGACGTAAACGCGTCGTGGCAGGAAAATATTTAACAATTAATAAATAAATAAATAAATATTACCTGATGATTCTTCGACGGTTAATATGACGAAAAACGCGAGAAAACCAAAACACGTGCGTGTCGTTAACGTTAATAATATATCCATTAACGTTACCGCCATGTGAACGGCTGGAAAACAACTAAAGGAAAAAACGACGACGACAACGTTCGGTTAACGTTCGGTTTTTTTACTTTAGCTGGAAAGCGCGCAGAAAACTTTTTCCATTTCCCCCCCCCTCCTTTCAAAAAACTCCTTTTTTTTTTTTACTTTACTTATTCATTTAACATACGGGTTTAACGCCGCGATATTTTCCCCCATTTTCTCCCTTCCCCTCTCCTCTCTCCCCTGCACCCAACGAGTACGTTTCATACGACAAATTTTTTAAATTGTCGTAAAAGAAAAAAAAACGTGTAATTAGAAACTGTTTTTTTTTTTTTTTTTTAAATTAAAATTCTCTTATTGATAATTCCTCTTTTTTAACATTTAAACGTCTTAAAAATGGACATTTCGTGGAATTAGAAAAAAAATAATAATTTTTTTTTTTTTAAACTTAATAAACTATATTTTATTTATTTATTTACATTTAACGTTATTAAAATTTATTTTTAACAAGCGTGAGTTTTCGTTACAACAATGAAAAAAAAAACAAAATAACAGCAGACGAAAAAATTTTTAAAACATTTTCCGAACTAAAAAAAAAATTTATCAATTAAACTCGTTATCAAGTGCACTTCGATTACTTTTTATCCTCTCTTCCTCCCTCTCTCCCCTTCCAGATCCGTTAAAAATGATGAAAATAATAATAATAATAATAATCGTCGCATAATTTCGATATTCGTTTGCAAAAAAAAAGCGCGCGAAAAAAAAAAAAATTCAAATTAAAAAATTTGTCATCGGAAACGGGAAACAAACAAAATTCGTTCGTTCGTTCGTTTGGCCGTTCGCCGTTCAACGTCGTCATCGTTTCCGGTTGATCGATTTTAAATTTTACGAGTCTATTTTCTTTCGATTGATTTTCCGTTTCCGTAATCTACACACACCCACTTTGAAAATGAAAATATGACGTTTACAAAATACTAATAATAATAATAATTGTGCGTCTTTTCCCATAGAAACATCTAGAAAAAAAAAAAAGAAAATTCCGCATCGTTTAAATAATTCGACGCGTATCTATTATATGCCGGAAACGAAGGAAAAAAAAAAACAAAAAAAACAAAAAAAACCGGAAAAACAAACGAAAACTTTTTTTTTTTTTATCGGTCGAAAATTTTTTTTTCTAGTTTTGTACGAAACAGAAAGGGGGAAAGAGAGAGAGAGGGGGGGGGAAGCAAAAAAAAAAGATTAAACAAAAGTTTTTGTTAAAACCTCTTAAAAAAGTTTTTTGGAAAATTAATCCTTGAAATTAAACTCTCTGGAAAAAAAAAAAAATTTTCCCTTTCTTTCTTTCTTTTTGACCGAAACCATTTTTTTCCCTTTTTTTTCCTCAAACAACTTTCCAAATACAAATATTAAAAAAAAAAAAAATTATATTTGTTTAAAGGGGAGAGA